CCGTACCAGAAAAAGATGTACTTTGGTGTAGTGTGACATTCATTAGCAGAAGTGAACAGAACTTGTAGAATCCATCAATAAATCCAAATTTCAAAGTATCAATGTTCAAGATGCTTCACCAATGGTTGTCATTGGGTTTTGAAGATTCTGACTCAATTTAATCTATGACGTAAGTAAACGCGGCCTGAGTATATATAGAGGGTCCTTTCGGCCCAGAATTTGTTTTCTTTTTTTTCCTCATCACTGATAGAGCTAGAGTTGTATTTGTTGAATTTACTTTAGCAGTCCTTGGTCACTCTAAGATCCGCCCCCCTTACAAAGGGGAGATATTTAATTTTATGTAGCGTAATATTTCTTTTTTTAACATAAGTCCGTAGTCCGTTGAAATCAAGTCTGGAATAACACCTAATTGGTGTTGAGAGTTATTTTTTTTATTGGGAGCCTATTACCATCAGAGTAGTTGAGGCTTTAGCAGCATACATTCTTTAGTTATATTACTTTTTTTCATCTTATTAGAAAGAGCAGCCTTTAGGCAACTCTAGCCCCTTTACTTATAGGTTTTCCTCTTTTGCATACTGTTTACCGCTTATGGCGGTAAAGTTACTACAATGATTGAAGAGATAATAACAATCATACTTAATTCTTTCCTTGAACAGTCCAATCGGAACAGAGTCACAAACAAATCTGAAAGGTTATCACAATCTTTACTTTGTTTACAAATTATAAATTGCATGTCACTGATCCAAATCAACCAAGGGTATGTTATTCAAGTTTGGTTTATGCCTATCTTCTGTCAAGAAAACTGAATACTCCACCTTTTGTTTTCATGATCAAGAGCTCATTGCAGTTGATTGAAACCAATCATAGCCTACAAACAACGCCATCGCCGCTCTGCCCGCGACAGCGGGAGCGGAGCGGTAGCAGAGCGCACGCCCCGCCCGCGCTACCTCTTTTTGCATATAGCGTGTTTCACGCATTGCTATAGCTAGGGTGAAACCCGATGCAACATAGCGATTTAGTGAACCGCCCTGTATAGCGATAAACCGCTGTGCTATGACCCGTCACAGCGGCCCGGAGCGCTTAGCGACAGGGCGCCACAGAGCGGCAGAGAGTGGCAGAGAGCGGGTTGTTTAGCTTGATACAAGTAACTAGATCACACACCCCACGGGCCATCAAGCCCGACAACCATCTCTTCCCCTATCCTTAACATGCCCTCCCACCCTCTCTTGAATACCCAATTCGACTATATACCAACATCACCTCATTGCTATCTCTCCAGTACTCAAATAAACTAATCAACATCACCTCATCGTTGGAAACTAGGAGCATCTTCCAAAGATGCTAATGTTTCTACTGTTTCCAAGTCAATTGGATCCATCGGCCCCACCTATAAAAAGACCTGGACTTGAAGGTAAGTAGTTTGTTTTTCTCCATCGATTATCCATCATCGTATCTTCAGTTTCCACGTTCATTTACTATATCACTTATCCTTAATAATCTTCCTTATTTCCTTACAAAAATAGACAACTTTTAAAAAAATACTCGAATCGATCTCATCATGTCTCCATCTGTTCCCGATTCTAGAACTTATACCCAAACTACTCTTCAACTTGCACCTCCAGATACCACCGTTACATCTTCTACAACCTCTGCTCGATCACTTCGACCACGTAGCCCAGTACAGCCTCGCCCTGGATTTGTAATGCAGTCGCCCGACTCGCGACGCTCCCTCCAACTTCCTAGTGATGATGGTGATCATCCAAGTGGTATTGATGAAGAGGAAGCCTATGTAACCGAGGATGATCAATCTGTTGCATCAGGTTCACCCGGCTCTGATCCATCTCCAGTTCGACCGAAGAAAAAAATTACCAAACTTACCAGCAAGAAGCGTTTGCCTGGAAAAGGTAAACGCAAAGGTTCTATCTCTCGCAATGTTTCAAATTCTTCGCAACCTCTTTCAGCCCCTGTGAAGAAGAAGAAAAAGTTTACCACGACTGTGCTTCAGGTATGTAGCCTCATCTCCCTTTTATCTTCCTTTAAATCAAATATTTCTCTTTATCTTCATCTCTTTATTTATAATCCCGTCTTCCTTTTGCTAGGACTACGATGTCCCTGACGGTCTGGATGTTCATCAAGACTCTGACATCGAAGTTGTTGAGGCACCCGGAGTCCGACGTGCTCACCTAGGACGAGTTTCAAAACTGTTGTGTCACTACGAACCCCCAATTCATCTGAAAGGAGAGGTTAGTTATCTCAATTTTCATTTTTAATCTTATCTCCAGTGTTAGGCTGATCATCTGGATCAATCTATCAGACTGGGAATGATCCTCGTCAATATCGGTGTAAGTACTGTCGTGCGTACTGTTTCCGTGGTTGCCGTAGTTACTACAACCTGTACCGACATCGAGACGGATCGAAGGATCGACCTGCGTGCCCAAATTGACACCTTGCCATCCGAGATGGTCATGATCTCCCTCGAAGCTGGAAGCAGCAGCAAGATGACATTGTTCGAGTCGCCACTACCAACCCCAAGTCCACTCTCGACTCTTTCTTATCACAATCTTCCTTCAGTGTAGATTTACTCAACGCGGTTCTTGTCATTTGGATCCTTCGACATGGCCTACCGTTTGCTCAATTCAACGATCCATTGTTGGTATACCCCCAAGCGCGCGACGGTATGCCAAAGTCCAATTTTGAGGGCGGGGCGGTTGATTCGGCCCAGGCGGACGTTAGGGTCCTGACCAATCCAGCCACGCTGGTTTACATTTCAGGACACCGTCTAAGAAAGAGGACGTACAAGTAACAACCTCTCTCATCTAGGCTGCTCATGTTCTCCTCTTTCCCTCTTGTCCTCCACCAGCCGAATTCTCTGGCTCTTCCTTTCTCTCGATTCCCATCTTTTATAGCTTTTAGCTCTAGAATCGAAGAGAAAGTTTTTTCAGTTTTTATTCTACAAACATAAGGGTCTACTAGTTTCGAAGTACATTCATATAGTATACTATTTGGTTACATATCCGTCGTCGTTTAAAAATAGATACTTGTTCCAAAATCAATTATATTCTATAAATCTTCTTCCACGAGAACGGTTTCGGTTTATGAAGAAGCAATCCACACTGAACAGAGTTAATTTGAAAACCTCCATCGAGCGGGTACCGTCAAAAACGGCCTCTTCAAGATCCAACACGGAATCACACCAGACAAGTAAGAAGACCAACGAACAAGCGTCGGCCAGAGCCAAAAGAGCGGCATCAAGATCCAGAGAAATATCTCCTGTACAGTCGATCGACATGTCAAATTCAGTTCCAGGACCAACGTCAAGTTCAGCTCCAGAATTAACGTTATCGGCTGCACTCCCGAACCAGAATGAGACCACTTCACAAGAACAGGCTGGAGGAGAGGAGATACGCGACAAGGAAGCGACGAACCACCCAGTTACCAAGGGGAAAGGCAGCGCTAGCAACTCGAGACGCCTGAAACTAGTCATGACGAAACCGATTGCTAAACCAACAGCGGGGAATCAATCCCCTTCATCGGACTCCTCCTCGGGAAGCAAGAGTGGAAGCGAAGTCTTAATAAAGAAAGACAAAGGTTAGTTTAGAAACAGTTTGTACCCCCCCCCTCTTTTACTCGGGTCACATTGTGGAAGAGCGCCTTTTGTTATAGGCTGCAGGAGCGTAGCCTACAAGGCCAGAAAGCTGCTCAATGCGCTGTGATACCATAAGCGTTTTTTACGGCATTCGAGTTTTCTCTGCGTGATATGGCTGCTTCTTAGCGCTCCGTCTGTCCAAGCACTTCGTAGAAGTGGACGTGTGGCTGCTGATAGCGCCAATGGCCTAGGCCTACCTTGATATTGCTAAACCCATGTAGATTTACCTGACACATGACGGGGGCAACGAGGCTGACTTTCGTCGCTCCTTTTTTGCTCGACCAGTTCGCTTCAATTCTTATACGAAAGAAGAAAAAGCACAGAAGCAAGAACTCGTCAACGCCTTAGTCTCCGCGATTGAGACGGGAACGGCGAAACAAGTGAAGAAACTGTCGGCGGAGCTCAACAAGAAATGGGGCCAAAACCCTCCTCTCCCTCCCGTCCAGCAAAGCCGTCCTCCCTCTTCGCTACCTCCGGTGGCATCTGGTTCGAGAGGACCGGCGGGGGCTACACGTCCTGCAAAACCCTCCACAGCTAAATCACCTGACGCACAAACAACCTTTGGGGGGTAAGCCCACGAAGCACAAAGCCAACCTAAAACGAAAGGAGAAGAAATTGGTTTCAGAACCACCGTCTTTGGCCGAAATCCAGCCCCCCAACAAAAAGGGGAAGAAGCAAATTAAAGGAAAGGAGAGAGAGTCAACTACCATCGAGTTTCCCTCTGATGACTCGGGTTCCTCTAGTTCTTCCGATTCCTTGGTAAAGTCTAAGCCAAAATCAAAGGATTCTTCCGACTCTTCTTCTTTGGATAACGATACTAGCAGCGACTCCGGTGACTCGTCTTCATACGACGATCCCGAAATCAGCTTTGAGACCAAGACACTTAAAGCAGCAGACCTACTGGACCTCCCGATTAAGTGGGACAAAGGTTTCCGTCGCCTGCGAGCTTACGTTCCCCTGACAGTATTCAAAAGGTCGTCAATCAACTACTGGCACACCGTTACGTCTCGATTACAACCCCAGCCAGGCAGCTCCTCGATGCCTGCTCCAGAAGTCCAATTAGAGAGACAAATCAACCTTGGAGACTTCATGGAGATGTGCGACTTAGAAGCACGATACGCTAGAGAGATTTACAATCTAGCCCCTTATGCCGACTATATCGAGAAACACAAGGAGATCGTGATTAATCTGAAACGGAAGTACAAATGCTGGATGGTAGGACTTTGCTATCACCTTCTCGTGAGAACGGTCATCTTCAGACGCAGAAGAATAGTGAAGAAGAGAGGTAAGGGTAAGAAGGCGAAAAAGGACAAGGTGTTGCTTCCCGAAGGCCTTCAACCAGATATTGAAGACGCGGCTAGATGGGAAGCAGAAGTTGCAGGCGACCTTCGCTTTGAGGATAACCCTTACGCACCAGGGAACATGAAGTTCGGCTTCGATTTCTCATCTGGAAGACCGTCGGTGCATAACACGGTTCCCAACACTCAGGCAACGAGTGTACCTGGACCACAGCAGACACCTGTTACTCAACACTCCAGTTCTCCCCAAAACTCCTCCCAACAAGGCAAGAGGGGTGGAAGATTGAGGCGGAACGCAAACAAATCACAGGCTCCTAACAACGAGGGTCAAACTTTTGTTCCGTGGGTCAACAATCAGACTTACACACCTAACCGAACTTCCAATCAATTCACTCACCAGGTAAAATTACCCACACCTATTTACTTCTTGAGGTGTTGAGACAGATGAGACGTCACTAATACTAATTTGCTGAAATCTTTCCTGAAGCCTTCAGCCTCTGGGAGTGGAATAGGAATCACCATGTAAATATCCGTGTAGCACCTCGACGTGCACACACGGAGAGTTTTGAAATAAATCTCAAAGTCTTTTGGTCGGATTGAGACTGAGATTTTTGCTGAGCACCCTTTGTGCTTTGTGATTTGTTTAAAGGATTTGCAGAATCCTTTGTTGTCAGTGGGGGCCAACTGACTTTCAACCTCCCAGGTGATAAGGGGAAGATGTACTTGTCGTGGAACCTCTTTGATGGGTCGTTACAGGGTCCACGGAAAGTCTTTCGTGTGTGCGCGTCGACGTGCTACACGGATATTTACACGGTGAATGGCACTGGAAAATAGCCACCCTTCAGGAACAGGAAGCATTGTTCAGGCGAATAGTAACTATAAAGGGAAGAAACCGTGGAAACAACCGGGGGAAGTAGCAAAAGACAACGCCGCGATGACGAACAGGTAAGGATTCAACCCCTGTTCAAGCTTGCCTACAAGTTCAACCTGTCCTACACCCGAATTCTACATCCTTCCTCCATTAAATAGAGCGACTCCGCCCAGAGCTCCACTTCTTGTAACATTCAAAGCCGTTCATAGCCATGAGTTACAGTGCAAGCGCATAGCAGCCAGATTTCTGATTTGTTTTCCTTTTTAAAAAAAAATCTTTTTCATTCAAATCTTTAGTACATCTCCTTTACGACCAGACCTTGTTCGAACTTTAGCAGATGTAGGGGAGAAAACAGTATCGCGGTATGCCTACCTACTTGTTTTTGTTCTCCCGTTTGTGTATAGAGCTTGATGTTTGGGATTGGTTCCTTCTTGCAATTTTATGTCGTTATGTTGTTGTTCTTTGACAAAGAAAATCGGAACAAAAAATCCGGAGAAGTCATGTCATAGACAAATCAGTGACAACATACGAATTCCTTAGGGAAGACGACGAATACTTGTGTGACTCAGAATCAGAAAATGAGTACGAATCTCAAGGGAATGTTTCTCTAGCAAATCTAGAGGAGGACAGGAAGAAACGGGACGACCCTTTGCCTTTGTGGGAAAGGACTTTGTTCATCTTTGATGTCGAGAATCCTTGGCCTTGTGGAGTTTCTAGCAAAATGAACGTTCACCAATGGGCAAACCTAATGAAAGTACATTGTAAATGGGTTTCAGCAGGGTTTTTGTTTGGGAATCCCACAGCACGAGATAGCAGGGATGCCCTGGTACACGCCTGAGAACCACCAATCAGCTCTAGACGCGAAGGACCAAATAGAACGGACGATAAACAGCGAAGCGGCAGCAGGAAGACTTGCAGGCCCATATACACACGATCAAGTCTACTTCCATTTGGGATTCTTTCGCTCCAACCCGATGGGCAGCACCATCAATGGAGATGGAACATTACGATTGATTAATGATCTCTCATATCCAAAGAATGACCAATTAATCCCTTCAGTCAACTCCTTTGTCGACAAAAGGAATTTTGACACGTACTGGGACGACTTCGAAACCGTGGCCCAGTTTTTATGCCAAAACCCTGGGGACTGGGAGATGGCGATATTTGATTGGAGGAAGGCTTACAGACAGCTCCCGGTCCACCCTTGCCAAAGGAGATTTTTATGTATCAAAGACTTCAAGGGGAGAATTTGGATAGATCTCGCAGTTGGCTTTGGCGGAGTGGCAAGTTGCGGCGTCTTCGGGGCACCTGCTCACGTGTGGAAGAAAGTGATCGAATGCCTGCTGAAAGTTTGGAAGATCTTTAGATGGGTCGACGACAATCTCCTGTTCCGTCGACCCGGAGACAAGGTCTCTTTAGAGGATGTGACAAGTCTCAGCAACAGTTTAGGGGTATTAACTAACCCAGTCAAGAACTTTGATTTCTCTACCGAACAGAAATACGTAGGGTTCATTTGGAACGGCTCAGAGCACACTGTGCGACTCCCAGAAGAAAAATTGAAAGAAAGAAGACAACAAATAATCAATTTCCTACAAAAAGATTCGATGTGGTCCTTCAAAGATGTTGAGAGCTTTGTGGGAAGGTTGATTCACACGTCATACATAGTCCCTCATATGAAATGTTACACCCGGTCTTTCTACAAATGGATGAAATCGTGGCAAAACAAATCTGCATTGAGATACGTTCCGGACTACGTGTTGCCTGACTTGTTGGAATGGAACACGTGTTTGAGCAATTTCAACTCTCGCCCTCTAATTCCCTTGAAAACCCCGACGGACGTCGGCTGGGTAGGGGACGCCTCGAACACGGGAATAGGGGTCCTGATCGGAGACAACTGGGCAGCCTTTAAGTTGGTGGATGATTGGAGGACCCTGAATGCGACTGAAGGGAAAAGGCCAATTGCATGGGCTGAAACGGTGACGATTTGCCTTGGCCTCTTGGTCTTAGCGAAGGTCAAACCCGTGGCTGGTAGGTCTTCTGCACTAGAGCACCATTCAATCTTAATGCAGCTTACTCCTACTTTCCCTGGCGCAATAGGCAAACGTTTCATAGTTTTAACTGACAATACAACGTCACAGGCAGCCGTCAAGAAGCGGAAATCCAGGGATGACACAGTCAACACGGAATGGAAGCGTATTCAGAAGCTTCTGACCCTCTTGTCCTGCGACATAGTGGCTCAGCGAGTAACCTCGAAAGGAAACCTGGCTGACGACCTGTCGAGAGGGATCTTCGGTTCCCTTCTTTGGAGTCATGAAGTGAATATATCTATCCCGTCAGACCTGGCTCCTTTTCTTTCTCAAATCTCACTCCCGCCAACGTCCTCACAATGAGTGGAAACGCTTACCGTATAGCGGGCTATTCCAGCCTGAAAGAAATGATTTCTCCTCCCACTCAAAATGATACCTCAAAATTTGTTCAATTCAAGGCGTTCAGATCGGACACTTACGGACATGATTACGTCGACGAAAGCCCGGTGCAACTTCACCTACTAAACGGAGCCTGGGAACGAGGAACTCTAAAATCCTACAACTCTGGGATTCTAAAACTTTTAAAATTCGCGAAAATAATCGAGATAGACCCCTTGATTCTGCTACCCATTCCACCTAAAATTCTAAAAGAATTTATTGTCTGGGCGTCCGTCAAAGACGACCGATGGATAGCCCATGACGAGTCCGTCAAATCCCCAACTCTCAAATCTTACCTGGCAGGCATTAAAGCCTGGCACACTTTTCACGGAGCCTTCTATCCAGTCGAAGTAGATCCTCACATCAAGTCCCTCCTCCGAGCCACGAGGAAAATAGAGGCTAAATTCGACGAATTAGACAAGAAACGACCCCCAGTCCTTGTTTCAGATCTACTCACCTTGAAAGAGAATCTTTCGATTCATGAAGAGGAAGACCTGGTTCTTCTCACGCTGGCCCTCTGTGCCTTCTGGGGCACCTCACGACTAGGCGAGCTAGTCTCGGACGACTCGAGAAAATCGGTGCCCCGCTGGCAAGATCTCGAATGGGCCTCTGACGGATCTGACGTCGTCATCAACTTGCATGAAGCTAAAACAGCCCAGCCTGGGGAACTCCAGCAAATCCACCTGGAACGCCAGACTTTCAGTCTAGACCCAGTCACAGCTCTTAAGGCCCTATACAACCTACGCCCGCGCAAGCCGACCGATTACGTCTTTAGCTTTGTCAAAAACGGAAAGAAAGCGAGACTGAACAAGACCACTGCGATTAGAAGGTTTAGAGGCATCTGGAACGCCCACCGCCCCAAGTCCAAGCAAATGTTGCATGGACATTCATTTAGGATTGGGGGGGCCTCCCTCCGTTGGAATTTGGGGGCATCTCGAGACAAAGTCAAAAGGAGCGGACGCTGGGCCTCTGATGCCTACAAGATCTATCTCAGAAAGTTTTCCCCACGAGACTTGAGAAAGACAAAGACAATTCTTCGCCGTCTGAAGACATCGGCATAAGTGACCGGGTATCCCTCCAGTCCCCATTCGCCCTACTATTACCTTGGCATAGGGGGCGGTTGCAACGTCCATCCTGGACGCCGCAGAAAGTTGTACTCTCCCTCTGTAGACATCTTTCTCAATCACCTTGTTGTCCATTTCCAGCTCGTTTTTCAAATAATAATCAGATGGTGTTTAGGGTACTTCAGCAACTCATGAATTCCTCCCTGCAGACTTAAGTCGCGGAGGTTCGAGGGATGGGGCTTCACTAGGCTCACAGCTCTCCCCCCGCGAGATATTGGGGAGAGAAGCCCATCTCTCGTGAATTCTTTGTTCTTGCCTCCTGAGTTCAGTATTAGGAGATAAATACTTCATTTGTACTCCTTCTACCCTCAGGAGGCTACCCCCACACCACCAATCTGTAGTTAGTTTCCAACTATGTATTAGTTTTACCTTTCTATATTGCCGTGGTTATAAAGATTACACGGAACTGAGGCCTTTCTCACCAGTTCATCTTTAATAATAACCAGGCTTAGGTACTTAGAAGATGGGACATAAACCCATCTTCCTGCCCAGTAAGAGCCCCTGACCCACACTCGACAATTGGACCACTCAGAGCGGCCTTTAAGTTGACCAATTGATCGGCTAACGTGCGAGGAACCACCTGGGCATCTGAGACCGCCAAGGGTATTTACAAGCATCTTTCCTCTTCAGTGATTGATGCAATCAAGGTATGTCTTTTCAGTTTATATGATCATCTTCTCTTTAATTATCAACTTGCCAGCTAACATAATCAATAACTTCTTCATTTTCCTGTTATAGTCAAACAAGGGCAAGTTCGGTTTGATATACGATGTATGGACAACCAAAGGTCGTCGTAAGGCATTTATCGGTGTCTCAGCTACCTATATTGACAATGACTGGAGGCTTCAAATGCAACACTTGACCCTGAAGTTGGTATCCTGGCATCATGCCGGTCGGCTCCTGGCTCATCCTGTTGGAAGGTTCTTAATATCTAATGGGCTACATAAAAAGATAAGTCTTCTATTTCTATTTCTATATTTCTTTTTCTTCTTTCATCTGTAGCTAACATGCTATATCTTGTTACATGCTAGCTCAGACGACAGATTCCTGCAGTTCAAACAACACAATGGCTCACGAGTTATCGGAAATGTTCCGAGAAGCTGATGACCCGGTCGATTGGGACTCAACCGTCAATCAGGTCAAGTGCTACACCCATAAGATTGGGCTTGTAGTCAAGGCTGGCCTCAAATCGCTCGGAGTCCGCGCCGGTCACATCAAGCCGACTACACAACCTGGTGTTGTCTTACCCACCCCGACTTTAACGCTCAATGATGGTGAAGATGATCTTGGCTTCGATGATTCTGAAGATGACTTGGACGGCATCGATTCAACTCAAGGTGAAAGAGTAGGATGTTTGTTAGATGACAATCTATCTGATTGTGGGTGTGATGACGATGACAAGGAAGACCATTGTCTGAGCAATGTAGCCCAGGCTGTTCGCAAGGTATATTCTTTATCTCATATCCTGCTATCTCATCCTTTTGTTTTCTTCATCTGTATTTCCAAATAAATCATTACTGACTTGTCATTGTGTATCATAGGTAAAAAAATTTAACTCACTATGCACCCGAAGCTCTGCAAGACGTCAGGAGTTTCTTGCTAAGGCCAAACAGATGGACTACAAAGGGCGCTTGCCAATTGCTGGTTGGGGTGTTTGTTGGAATGTTGATTGTGATTATCTCAAACGATTGAGTGATGCTCGTGATGTAAGTCCCTTCTTATCTCTTCAATTTCCCTTAATTGACTTAGTTCTCTCAATCTGAACTACTGTAGGTCGTGGATGCGATCCTGCTCAGTGATCAAAAGATATGTTACTATCAAAGCCTTTTCATATCAGCTGATGAATGGGATTCAATCGAGCTTTTGGTCAAAGTTCTACAGGTTTGTAACTAATAATCCTTCTTTTACTTACTCTCCCTATGTGTTTGTAGATTTTTCTGCATACCACTAAAAGAATGGAAGGCAATTCGACAACTGGGTGTGTTTTGCTTGCCGAGTATTCGCGCATCATCTCCGAGGTCGACAAGTTGCAGAATGAGTTGGATGACTTGGAGTTGAAGTCAATGCTCAGTATCATGTGCAATAAGCTTGAGGGATATCAAGCTGAGGCAGCTGCTTGCGACGCAGTTGTCTTATCAACCATCCTGAATCCTCGATTCCGACTACGATTCTTCGATCTCAATTACCCTGACGATTCTGCCCGAGCCAAAAGCCTTTTCAGAGCTGCTTTTGAAGAAGCATTAGATCAATGGCCCGATGATCCTGTTGACAATCCTCCCTCCAAGTCACCATCTCCTCCTCCCTCGCCTCTTCCAAACTGTTTCGAGTACGATTTCTTTACCAAGAACACATCATCTCAGTCCGCCGCTGATAAACGTAGAGAAGAATATGCAGAGTACATTGAGGGTGCTCACTTGACGGTCACTGGTCAGAACGAGCTCGATTGGTGGAAGGTGAGCTTTTTTCTTTAACTTGATTACTTTTGACATTTCTCTGAAGGTTTCCTTTGCTATTCATAGGAGCATGAAAACGATTTTCCAGTCCTCGCATCAATGGCTTGTGACTATCTCGCGTTGTCGTGCACATCGTGCCCATGTGAGAGAACCTTCTCACCTGCATCGGATATTGCAGTACCCAGCCGGGCATCTTTGACAGCAAAAATGATTGCAAAGCTTGTTGGGGTTTGTGAATGGTTGAAGAGTGGCATCACACTCTCTGGCATATATGCCGATGCTTGGGCATACGTGAAGGCTTATGAAACTCAGCAAAAGAAGGCTAAGAAGTAGCTTTAGGGCTCTACTATCGAAATCGTTTTTGTTTTCTTTTTTGTTCTCAAATTCTCACCCAAGTCTGTCTTTACTTATGTCTTCTTTCTCACCTTCAAACTCTGCCTCTACATAATTGTATAAGGCTCAAACATGCTCGTTTATTTTGACAAAATTGTTCTTTTCTTTTCGGATATCCTCACCCTTCCCCACTCTGCTCAGTGAGACCTTTGATACACTGTTAGGTCCATTTTGTAATCAAAACCGATTTAAAACGGCCTTTGACTGCGCAAATATCCCCTTGTCTGCGCTTTTTTGTGATATGACCTCTGATATTTCCCTATAGCGGAGCGGAGCGGTCCGCAATAGCCGCCCCGCTCTGGATGGTCATAGCGACCCCACCTTTATAGCGTAGCGATTAGTTGTTTTGTCTTAGCGCAAAACCGCTCCGCTCGTAAAAACAGCGATTATAGCGGAGCGGTGGTGGTGTTGCTACAAATCACTCTATACCTCAAGTTCAACCTCAATCTGCAAATTACTAAATCTTGATCTATAGACTATCAATCAACACGACTCCCAATATTATCTTATTATGTAAATCACCTTTCAGTCTTTGAATTTGATTAGGATGAGAAGGATGTTGTATGCCACATCAGAATCATACATTGTCTACTCCTCAGTTGGAGTGTTGGCGCATTTGAGCATAATGCTCCTTGCAAGGTTTGGGACCGCAGTCTTGGACCTCTACTAAGATCCCTCCACTTGCTGTCCCTTCTAGGCTTATTCGTTTAGTCTAGGAGGGGCTACGAGTGGGTTGGGGGGGCCCCTCGGGGCCTCTCTCGTGGTCTCAACTAGACCCTCAAGGGCTACCGTACGCCTTGAGTAATCCAGCCAAGGATGAGAGGCCTGAGGGGGGATCCATCCGGATGCAGAGGATAGGAGCTGTCAGACCCCTCTCTCTGGGCAACGTGTTCAGAGCCCTGACCAGCACCCCTTCCTCTGAATTCGGTGTACCCCCGATCTCTCTTTTACCATGCAAACCTCAATTTAGCATTTGTACTTCGTACAGCTTGGTGTATGGTTTACGCACTCAATTGTAGATATCTCTCCGAACGCCTCTCTCGCGGAGATTGTTCGGACACATCCATTCATGCGGGTCATTGTTGAATTACTCTTATGATTTCCTCAGTTCATTTAGCACAACCGCTGTCTCTTCCTTCTCTCTTTCGGAATACTCTTTCAGGTACCTCTTGTATGAGGTTCCTATCCAGCGTCCTTGTTTCTTAATGACCTCTATCGACGATCCGTGGAAGTATAGCAGTGATGCTCCTCCTACCAGGAAGGAGTGTCCCGTTGGGCCTTCTGTTCCTTTCTTTTTCCATATTTCGCTCAAGCACTTCATCACTTCCGACTTGGACAGCAACCACCTTTCTCCATCTCTTGTATACAAAAACAACGGATCCGACTTCTTTACCCTGTTCATCTTCACCGTACGTTCCAAGGCAGTTACTGGGTCTAGCAAGGTATTGCTTCCTTAATTTTAAATATTGAACTTCGTTAGACTTTGCTGTTTTAGCTTCATGTATAGCTAACTCTAGATGACCCGTTTCTTCTTCCAATGCCAGATCGTTCAACACCGGTATCCTTTTTGCTGGCTTATCCGACACCAGCTCACCTAACCGTGCTAGCCCCCAAAAGGCTACTAAACACACCGCCATGATTGCCACTGCTTTGTTTCCTTTGTTCTCCAACTCTTCCACTACTTGTTGCAGGTGAGATACCAGTACTGGCTCCTTCTCATTGGTTCGTCGTTCTCCTACTACCAGAGGTTGACTTGATACTGCCTTCTTCTTCTCTTCTTCGTACTTTTTGGACGCTTTCAGTATCAGCTTCGTAAACTCTTCATCCACGTCGGGGAAGTCGCATTGGTGCAGTTTGTGCCACGCTTTCAACCCGACTAGATACTTCCTTATAGTCTCTGACTTCACTGCTTCGGTCGTCGTCTCTTCTGGGTTCTTTCTTTCGCTCGCCCACAATATGAACTCATAAACCAACTTTTTCGACGCTGGTAAGCATTGGTTTCTCCTTCTGCCTTTTTGCTCATTAAACTTTACATATTTCTTGATTCCTGAGTTGTACAACTTCATCGTGTCTTCAACCCAACTTCCACCTGTTATGTGTTCAACTAGACGTTCATCCGATACTCTCTTTATTCCGTCTGGTCCGGTCTTCAGCTCGTCTAGGTTCGGGGGGTTTTTTGGTTTCGGATGTTTTGGGTTACTTTGAGACCTTTCCATCTTTGCCGAACTCTTGTACTATCAGGCCAAGTAAGTCCTCGGGGATGGCTATCCTAAGCTGATTGCCGAGCCGTTCCTCCGATGTGTCTCCTCTTGAAATCGCGTCTGCTGGGTTTGCTTCTGATGTTACTCTTTCTTCCTTTATGTCGCACTGGAAGTCGGTTAGTAAGTGTTGAATTTCTTTCCACTCTTTGTTCACGGTTTTGTCTTTCGACTTCCTATTTCTGACAACTCCTTCTGTTGTTGTGTTGTCGGTGTGTACTATAAACCGCTTTCCTTCCGTCTCGTACTTTTTTCGTAACATCAAGAGGCCTAATCTGATAATTACCGTTTCGGCCCACGCAATCTTTCTTTCCTGCTCTTCGTGTTTCAGGTACTTTGTTTGCCACCCTGTTCGTAGGCGAAACATGGCCCAGGACGATCCGATCTTCACCCCTAGACCGAATGAGGTAGATGCGTCACCGTACCACTCTACTTCCACTGGTTTCTTTTCGGGCAGAATTCTCAAGTTATCGAAGTTGCTTAAGGTGTAGTTCCAGTGCTCTAAATCTTCCCTCACTTCTTCCGGGAGGTCTCTTCTTATCCACTGATTGCCCCAAACCTTCTTGCAGTGGTGCATAGACCTCATATAAGCCTTCATGTGCGGGAGAATCAGGATTGTGTGGCATAAACACCCTACTAAACCCTCGAACTGTTTGTAAGATATTTTTTCCATCGTGGTCAGTATTTGCCTCGTTTCTTCTCTCCTCTGATCTAGTTTTGCTTGAGGTAGCCTAACTGTGTGCGATTTCCCGTTCCATATAAAGCCCACGTATTTCTGCTCATACGCAAACTCGTGGTACTTCGTCTCAGTTGTTTTTACCCCTAGTCTATTGCTGATCTTTACAACATCTTTCATTGACACTCTTGAATCGGGTCTTTTTAATAGCATGTTGTCGTCGACCCAACGGAAGATTTTGGGTATTCGTAGTTGGATTTCGATCAGGTCCTTCCAGGCATCTGCCGGCCGTCCGAAGATTCCACACCCGGCAACACCTCCAAACGCAACTCTGGTGTCTACCCACAATCCCCCATCGAAGTCTTTTAAAATCAAATAAGGCCATTGGTCTGGGTCGGTTGGGATTTGGCGGTAAGCCTTCTTCCAATCGAATATGGCGAGGAGCCATATACCTGGGTTGTCTTTGAAGAACTCTACCACCTTGTCGAAGTCGTCCCAGGTGGTTCTGAAGTGTTTCTTCTTTACAAATGAGTTCACTGATGGTATCTCTTTTTTCCTTCTTGGGTATGACAGGTCGTGGATTACCTTAAATGTGCCATCTCCATTGATTGTGCTTCCCATTGGGCTAGATCGAAAGAACGGAAACCACTCTTTCACCTGGCTGTGTGAGAAAGGGCCGTAAATTCTCCCTTCCCGCTTTTCTTTCTCTAGAGTTCTTCTGATTTTCTCTTGAACTTCCTCTGCAGATTTGTGATTGTCGGGGGTGTACCATGGCAACTTCCCTATTCTATGGTCCGGGATACCTTGTGGGAAGCCGTATATGAAGCCGTTTATTACGTCTTTTTATTTTTCGACTAGTCCCGTGGACTCTAGCTGGTCTCTCCACTCTCGTACATCCATTTTGCAACGGACCCTACAAGGCCATGGTCTTCCGTCTTCAGGGCGGTGGATTTTTCTGACATGTAAGCTCTTTCTCTTCGCCTCCTCCTCTTCTACTTCTTCTATCTCTCTTTCTGACCCTCTTGTTGACTCATATGTCGAACTTTCATCGGACCACCTCAAGCTGTAGCAATTGGTACCTCTGTCAGAGAAGTTTCCGTGTTCTGACATCGAATCATCAGGACTTGAGTCTCTAGTCTCGGACTGTCTTCGCCTGGTATGGTAGAAGGCAGGTAGGCTGTTATGGCAAAGGGTGGGCAAGGTAGGAGGCACATTTGTAAGTTCACTCTTGCTCCCGTTGGGTTTAAGGGAGGCAGTTTGGATGTTCGGTGGAGGAAATGACAGGTAACATGATGACGGGAGGCATGTGGTTTTTGGGACAGGGTCAGGTAACAAGCCTCCGGTGTAGAACTCTTCAGCTTATGGTTTCATTGCAAACAAAAAGGGCGGGATCATGTTCGTTCCTGTTGAAGACTCACTTCTTCTTCGACATGTCTTTTACGTTGGACTTATTACTGGTGACTGATCTACTTTGGTATCTGTAGTCATCCCTTCTCTCATCACATTCATAGTGGTCTCGTCTCTCATCTCGTTCGTATCTACGTGGGGATCGCGTTCGTCTTGCTGGCGACCTGGACCTTTCGTCCCTTCTGGGGGACCATCTGTTGTTCCCAAACTTATTACAGTAACTTGAGTCCCAATCGTCGTCTCGGCCGTAACAATCGTACTCCCTGTGTTGGAAGTTTCCTCTTCCTTGTCCTCTTCCGCGACCTCGACCTCGACTTCCGTGAAATCCACCTCTACTCTGACTCCTTGTAAGTAAGTTGTCTTCTTTCTCTGTCGCTTTTGTTCCTTCTTCTTTCTTCTCGGATTTTTTGTACGCTTCATTCTTCTCTTTCGTTGCGATCTTTGACAACTGTGGGTCTGGGTCTTGGTCTTGTCGCTTCCACCTTTCGCATACGGGTTGTCGTGGCAGTCCCACTCTCTGAACTTGTCCACTGTTCTCCTTGCTTGTTCTTCTATCTTACGTTGTCTTACTGAAGGGTCAGACACTTTTCCGCCTTCCACCCTCGTTGTCCAGAACTGATGTCGTATCATGATATCGTAGCGTAGGGCCACCATCCAATTATCGTCATTTTCGGCTTTTACTTTTTCGACGTTTCTCTTATGGCCTTCAAATTTCAAGACTAGCTTCTCAAAGTGGAACCAATCCTTCAAGTAATCCAAGAACAAGTTAAAGCATGTCACCCAGTCTCCGTAGGTTAGCCTGAGTTCTACCGGGTAAGATAGCCCTTCGTACTTTTCATCATTGGAATCTTCGTCGTCGTCTTTGTTCTTCTTTTTCGATGACTTTCTTCCCTCTATGTTGCGATTGGCTTCTAACCATGCTTTGTTGAACATCAATATAGGTACATACCCCTTGATTTTCCGTATCCGGTTGTCACAGAAGACTGTTAGTTGAGTCATATGGTGGCTCGGAACCTTCCCGTCTGCGAATTCGATACCGTTCTCCACGAAATCTCCTCCTCCTCGGACTGGACCTTCTTCTTCGTCTGACATTGGGCGACCTTTTGGGATGTTCTTCCCGGCCGTTTTCGTCGTTTTCGACTTCTTGGGATTAGTGTTCGGCGCAGTTTCCGGATTAGTCTTCGGAGTAGTGGTCTCGACGTAAGCTTCCGGATTCATTCGGGAAGTTGTGGTCGTTGGGCGTGGCCTTTCCGAGTTGGTTTGTGTTTGAACCGGTTGTTCGTTCACTGCTCTCGGTTGAGCCTGGGGTTGCCTTTCCCTCTCAATAGCGAGTACTTGCATCTTTTCGGGGTTGTACCGTAGGAGGTAAGCCGTCATTAATTCAGCATGCTTCTCAAAATCGTTATCGTCCAGGGCTTCTTGTATCTTAAGTAAAGATGCTGCCTGTTCTTTTGACGGACCGGATGGGCCCGGTGACGGATTGCGACGTTCTCATTCTTTCCCTGGAATAGTTCGTGAGGAGCGTAATCAATTTGTAAGTTCCTTTTCTCTTTTCTTCATCTCGTTGGTCTTTGACTATCATGTTCAGACAGGAAGGTATTTGTTTCTGCACCCTAGTCCGTTATGGGGACTTCTATCTGGGTCTTCCCACCGTTATAGGGTGGGGATATTATTGTTACTTGTCATTCTATTGACTAGCCGTTATGGGGCCTCTGACACCTGCCTTGTGGCTCATTCTGTCAGGTCACTATACGAGTCCGGTACGAGTCTTGTCGTTCCTGTTCCAGATGTGACCTGGTTCCTGGACTGGCTTCAGAAAGTAGGTAGAAAAAGGGGGTGTAGATCACCTCATAGAGTGACGAAGGGAAATGGGAGGTATGTGGTAGGAAAGGGAAAGGGTGGTGATAGGGAAGAGAGGAAGTGATAGGAAGGAGTTTTAGGGTGACTGTCGAAATGGAGCATTCTCACCTTTCTCTAACGTAGGGCTGGCGATTAGTCCAGTGAGCACTTTCTTTCCCACCTCTTGCTCTTCCACCGGTTCTTGTTTAATCCTTACAATTTGCTCCCAGTTGTCTTCTTCTTCACTTGATTCAACGTATCTTGACCCCATATACTCCAAGCTGCTTTCCCGACTACTTGCCCTCTCAGATTCTCTTGTATCTTCTTCTATCGTACTTAGGTTTGCCGGATTTGTCCCTGTTGTTATCGTTCCTGAGGTTTGTTGGCCTATTTCGCTCTGGGTGTTCGTCAGTGCGCTCGGACGTTGACCATTCTGGGTCTCCTCGTTTGTCTTCTCGGTTAGGCCTTTTTCCACGATTCCTCCTGGTTTCGGGTTCTGGACTTGTTCCTCTTGTGTTTTCTTGGCCTTCTTTTTCTGCTGTTGTTTGGCGGTACTGACAGGGCCCGGCTGAAGCCTCTGAGTTTTTTCCTTGGATCGTCGACTTCCTCCGGAAAAAGATCTTCGCTTCTGTTTTTTGACATTTCAATCTTCTTTCTTGTTGTTCTTCGAGTCTTCTTGCTACTATTTCTGTACTTGCTCAAATTCTGTTTATCTTCTTATCGTTGAAAATTTGATGAATGATGAATGATCAAAGTTAGAGTTTGAGCTTGCTGAGAAGTAGCGTACTGAGAACTTGGAAGCTTGAGAATTTCTGTATGTGGAAATTCAAGCTTCCTCTTGTTCGGGTACATAACAGTTAAGTTGTTATGTATTCCTTTTACGCTACTCTCTCCTGCGCACACTCCACACCCGTAGACATAGGTCCACACTGCGTGCCTTGTCTGAACTTCCCATCAAACCAGACCAATATTGTTACAATTCTGGCCATAAAAGATAACCAAAGCTTTATGAATCAATTGGAACAATCATCACACAATCAATCTGTAGAGCTGTACATATATTCTCTTCAAGTTGACTCTCTACAAGATAATGTCAGCAAGCTTCTAGAGAGACCTTTTGGGATCCCTCTAGATTATCTATTTTTTACATATGTAAGTGTGTCAACTTCCATGTTCAATTGCAATTTCACTGATTGATCTATTTTTGATTTGAATGATTGAGTGATCCTAATATCTTTGTTCTCAAAAATCTCAAGAATTCACATTTCAGCCAATTTATTTTGTTAATCAATTTTGACTAAATAAATGATATCATACTAAGCTTCTCACTTTTCAAACCTTGAATTAATTGATTTGACTGCACTTCAATTCAGCCTTATCAATTATCATTATAGCCATTATTTGTCTATGTGATTGAAAATGATTCAAGCATCATTCAATGATTTAGGCACACCTCCAATCCATCTTGACAAATGAAATAGAGTTAATTCATTATCAAATTGATTTGGCTTTGGATGATCTTTTATCAATAGAAAGCTCAAAATAAGATGATGATGATTGCCTCACAATATCTGTGATTTATTTCAGTGCTTAAAACAAAATGTGCAAAGTGAGCCTTCTAGATTCTTAATTTCAAAAGCTGTATTGATGTCAATAATCATTTTACACGCAGGTCTATCAATTGATTGGAGCCTGGATGATGGTGGCAGTGATTTGGATACATTATTCAAATTGACATCTGCACATTGATGAATTTAGGTCAATTGTGCATCATTTTTGAATGATTCAACCAGTTTACTTTCAATTGCGTCAAGCATGATGGATCATAAATGAAGGCCACAGAGCAAGAGGCGGTAGAAGAGGGATAGAAATCAAAACACTCTTTGTCACTTGACATGAAGGTTGAACAATTCCAGTGTTGTTCCAAAATATTTAACAACTTGGGTGATCCCAGAATCAATGAGAATGAACAGTGGAAAACTCATACCACTCCTTTGGCCACAACATGCGTTCATGACATCAACAAGTGTAGATTTGTTGGGTTTGGTGACAGAAATTTCATTTCACAGTTTATGTTTCTTCCACTCAGTAGAAACCTCAGCAACCCTCAGCTATTTTAAATTTTCTGGAACAAATTTGAGACCAAGTGGGCAAATTTATCAATATTGACATCAAGAACGTCTCTTGTGGATGCAGTGTACTCTATCATAGAATATCATGCTTCAATTGACCCAAATTCATCAAATCAAATCTTCATATATCAATCTTCGATTTGATTATTTTACTTTGGTTTCAGTTCAACATATTTTAGAAGCAATCATGAGCTTCCTGATTGTCATCAAGAATAATACCATGAAGCAATTCAAGAAGCTGATGAGTTTGAAATTCAAATTTGAAGAACAAGTATCATGACAACTCAGGGATTGGATTTTAGCCACCAAAACACTTATTACAGTTGCGGCTCGATATAAGCACACATTGAGTAAGCATATTTTGCTATAGGAATCAAATTTTGGTGAAACAAAAATGAAAATATGCAGTACACTCCTTTCAAAATGATGCATCACGCTTTGTAAGCATCAAATTTGGTGCATTTTAGTGATGCTTATAGCGAGTGGAGACTGTATATTTTCTTTTTTAAGATGCCTATCAGGCAATTCAAGAAGGTTCCCTATAAACTTCACATGTCTCAAAACATCAAAACCAGGCACACAGAAGTTCAATACTTTTCAGCACTTTACCTTAGGCTAAGCCGTATTGGGTTATCTTACTTTGCAACTTCTTCATTTATTTTTCTCCACTTGGTGGTTCCAAACTGATTAATTGATACATAAGGACGTAGGCCTGTACTAAAGTGAGAAGTGCGGTGCCTGCCATCCAGATGGCTTTTCCAATTAACATTGAACTAGATATATCAGGAGATATTATATATTGTCTTCTATTGTATAACTTGTCATCTTTGGTTTCTTCATTGATAATTGCTTTCTATCATTAAGTTTGTTGTGATAAGTTTGTTCAATCAATTCAAATGGGTCATTTATTCCCTGACAAGAACTGACAGGTCAAGTGATTGGAGTGAGATATGCAGTGTCATTAGGAGAATGAGAGCTGATGCTGCAATATTGCAATACTGTGAAAACCATTTCAAGACAGCTATGAAACACAAAGTGTTGTAAGAAAAAAGAGTTATAAATTGGAAGAAACCAAAAAATGACTATCCTTTGGCATTATTGATTGAAAATTTGGAATTGTTGCACACCAGGACATCTATTCCAGATAAGAACACTGAACTTCTGGGTTAGGAACTGTTATGGTTAGGAGTTAGGATTAGGGGGTTAGGATTAGGGATTAGGGATTAGGGCAGGATATCCTTCTATTTACACAATTTTCACCATGCAGTCATTTAGGGTGTGGCACAAAAATCACAAAACAGATGTGTCAAAGTTCAGGTGCACCTGGGAGCGCACCAAATCCTCAAAAAGTTTCCACCCACAGTTATTCTTCAGGTTGCAACAAAAATGCCAGTGCGGCGCCCGCCACTCAATTGTGCTAGTCAGAAAATTACCCATGCAATTGACTTTGATGTCTAAAGTTTGTCAATCCCTAAAACAAGAAGATCATGAAATCATGTGGGTGATATAGAGAGAGCAATATCAGTTTGGGTGAAATGGATAAATTACACCATTTTTGCTTCCCTCCTCAAGGAATAAACTGCTTCATTTTCAATCGAATGGCGGATATGGCCTTGACTGAATTTATGATTTGGTGTGATTGACAGTCATCCGGAAGCTTGTGTAGGTGACGAAACACAAGGGTGATTGCTTCAACTTCAGCTCAATCCAATCAAACAAACTTGAAGAAAACAGGTAATTGAAATCCAATCTGATATTGCTGAGATTTCATTTCAATTCGGATGATTGTAATGAGCCAAATCCAGTTGCTGTCAAGAATAAAGAGAACAGAAAAGATTGAAGAGTCAGTTTTTAAAAACAAAAGCTTGATAGGAAACAAACTTTGAAAAATATGCCTTTCTAAACTAATAGAGCTGAGGGTGTCAAAGATGAGAGAATTGATATCGTTTCAGATGTCAGATTCACGCTCATTGTTTGAAAGGAATCTCATGAAGGTATTTAGCAATGTTAAACCTTGAGATCGAACGCATGTTGATGAGCATATTTTCAACCTCATGATCTGGCTGTTTGAGTTTTTCATTTCTAAAAATGAAGACAGGTGAGATACAAATGAAAACTGTTCCTTGAATCTACATTCTTTATCACGGATAGATTGAGTGATTGCAGAGTTACATGTTTGAGGATGAATACATCTGGGTTGTTTTTCATGTCGGTGTCGAGGGGCTTGAGAACATAGGAAATGATTGAATCAAGTGTAAGAAGTAGGATAGAATGGGCAGTTTGTCAGTTTTAATATGAGACTTCTTAACCTGCTCCATAAATTCCACAATTAGCATTGAAAGTACACTTACATTGATAAAGCAGATCAAGGGGTTCACTCAAGGCTTATATAACATCATGGCCATCTAGTGAACTTGACCAATGAAGTTTGACATAGATTGCTTTCAACAGCCAGTTGAGATTAATCAAATTAACTGCAAGAAAATGAAGATTTAGTTTTGTATTCTCAAGATTCCTGTTATATAAGATTTTAATGACTTATGGAAACCACCAATAGGGCGGTTCAAGTAGAAAGTTGCGGATACCTGTGACGCGACGTCCCGAACACTTTTTTTAGGTCGTCCGCTTCCTAAATTCCTTGTCTGCACTTTGCCAGATGCTGTAAAGTTACAATTTAAGTCCATGTATAATCGGCGACACTGTGTCCCAACGTCTCTTTTTCCCAAGTTTTTTTCCATTTGTTATGCGCTCATCTTTTTTTCTTTGTTTCAACGGTATCACTTTTTCATTTACTTGTCAAGAAATGAAGCCAGAGAGGGACTATCACGCATGGTCAAATTTTTTGATCCCTTTTCTCGCACCTTGTGAGCTCATCATCCTCAAACAAGCTTCTCTTTTTTAACCTATCAAGATGCCCCGTGTTTCAGACAGAGTCACTGTGATACGTGAGCTAATCAACCTATGTGTAGTCGCCCACATGGACTCCGAACCACGTTTCCCAGGCCAAGAACCCAATCCCGACAACCCTACTGAAGGCGAGCTGCTTTTTGGCTACGATCCTGAGTTGGCGATTTTGTATGATGCACTTTTCGATGAACAAGAACAGTGGGGCCAGTGGCTTGCCCAAGTGACCGCGAGACGCTATCTCAACGATCGAATCAGCGCCCCTTTACCTACGCCGTTCGACTTACGCGACATGCTAAGAAGTCGACGCACCGATTTTCGTCAAGCCATGAGGACAACCCCAGAAGGCTTCCATGCCCTGCTTAATATGATTCAAGCAAACCCCATCTTTATCTCCTCGAGCAACAACGGACAGCCTCCGATAGAAAAACAACTTGCAATTACCCTTGAGCGACTCGGCAGTAACGGCAACGGGGCCTCTGTTGGCCGATTTGCTCGTAACTACAAAGTTGGCAGAGGTACGATAATCAATTGTACCCGGCGAGTGATATCAGCAATCTTGGACGCTGGAGATCATTACCTTAGCTGGCCCAATCCTCATAGGCGCAAGGCTATTGCGAAAGTCCTTGGTCGTGATGGGTTCCCCGGTTGTGTGGGATTTGTCGACGGAACCACAGTGCCCCTTTTTCAACGACCTGGACGTGACGGGGGGGTTTTTTTCGACCGCAAGCATCGGTACTCTATCAACGTTCAAATTATCTGTGACTGTGATCGCAGAATAACTTACGCCTACGCTGGATGGCCCGGTTCGTGCTGTGATAGCACAGTATATTCCAAAACCGAGCTTGCCAACACCCCCGGAAGATACTTTGATCGAGGTTAGCATCTATCTTTTTGTCTGATAGAACGAATGCTCACCTAACTGATTGCGTTATCTATTCTCACGGTGAATACATAATTGCAGACTCTGCGTATATACCTTCGGAAACCGTTGTCCCATCATACAAGGGTCAAGCTGCGGAGGTCGAAAGAAACAAGGACTTCAATTGGTGTGTGGCGAAGTCGCGAGTGCGGAACGAGCACTGTATTGGGATTCTCAAGTCCCGTTGGGCATCTCTTCAAGGTTTAAGATTATCATTGAATAGTAGAGGTGATATGGTTCACATCTTAAGGTGGATTCGCTGCTGTATTATCCTCCACAATATGCTAGCAGATCTTGGAAGTGCATGGGAGGAAGAGGATGGTCATATTGTCTTGCCTGAACGTGGGGAGGCAGGACGTTTACTAGGCGGAACACGAGCAGATCCAGCGGGTGTAGAATTGGGAAGGGCCAAACAAGAAGACGTTCGAGACCACGCAGTCGCGTACAATTGGGAGAGTGGAGGTCTACCCATTATCTAACTAATTTCTTTCGTTTGCGGACATTCCGTCCTTTCTTTCTTTCTTTTTCGGACAATGACTTTGTTTTGATGTTTTTGTGACTTTGTTTTCTTTCTTTTGTATGATTTCCTCCGTATGCTGTTTCTGTATTTGAGGTTGTCCTGTGGTCTCTTTTCGGATTTGTTTTCCTATTGTCCTCTCGTTATTTGTAGTTGTTTTTGTCCTTATTGGTCTGTTGATAAGCATTGCAATCGATCCCAAGCTTCCTCTTTGTTCACATGCAAATGAACCGCGAGGGATGTTTGGGTTGGTACATAGACCACACTTGGCCATAAAAAGACACAACAATACATAATAGATTTCAAACTTGGAAACACCTCGTGAGGGACACTTACAAAGAGAAAAGAATTTGAGAACACCTCGTGATGGACACTTCCAAAGAGAAAAGAATTTGAGAACAACTTGGGGGACACATACAAAGAGAAAACGATTTGAGAACAACTTGGGGGACACATACAAAGAGAAAACGATTTGAGAACCACTCGTGAAGAACAAGTTGTTCTCACTACTCTATACATGGTTCATACATACCATGCTAATACGGAGGCTTGTATCACATAACTAATCTAATGAATAAGACATTCAACACACTTTAACAATAGCCAAACAGAGAGTCTCGCATGACTGAGCAACAGAGAGTATCATGTTGCTAAGACGAGCTTGAAAGGGGTTGATCCAGAGCCGGGGATGAAAGATGAGTTCGAAAGGGCTTGATCCAAACGTCCTGAATCTGAATCAAGATGGATCATCATCAGCCTGACGTCAAAGAAGTGTATACACACGTCAATAACTTACATCACTAAGCTTGATCATCGGGATATACCAGACGCAAGTACGCTTCGACCTCTGCAGGGGATTTTCCATCCAAGGCCAATTTCTGACAGAACGCTTGACACTCTTGCTGAGCTGAAATGACCAATCGACGAGTTTCTGCGTCCCGGGCTTCTTGACAATCGAGGAAGTATCTTTCTCTTTCCCAGGTCAAGGCTGAATTGCGTGATTCCGAATCAACTCGCATGCGTTGAGTGTCAAACTCCTGACGCCACTTAGTGGCGTTCGTTAGCAACTCAATCTTGGCATCATTCCCTTGTTGAAGGGCGTTGGCGAGAGCGTGCTTCTGTTCCTTGTGGTGGACAGTTGAGGGATCAATTGAAGGCAGAGGATTGAGAGACCGGCGAGAGAGATTCGCACGAGAACCGGCGCGAGGTTGAGTCGCAGGCGGGCCATCCGTGTCAGAGCTGAGGTCCAAGGCGAGTTCTTCGGCGGTGAGTCCATCTTCTCTAGAAGCACGTTTCTTTCCGGGTTTGTTCATACTGACTTTCGATTTCTTGCTTGGTTGAGAAGGACCAGTGGCAGGCGGGCCATCCGCGTCAGAGCTGAGGTCCAAGGCGAGTTCTTCGGCCGTGAGTCCATCTTCTCTAGAAGCACGTTTCTTTCCGGGTTTGTTCTTACTGACTTTTGACTTTTTTTTGGTGTCAGAGTTAGTTTGTGGAGGATTGGTAGTCTCTTCAGCAGGCGCGTTGATCACCAGGGAACTTTTGGTGGAGTCTTTTGGTGTAGGAGGAGGAGAACTGAACTGTTCGTCAATAAACGCACGATAATGACGGTTCAACACATCAGCCGGAGTGGTGTCATAGATTTGAGAGTTCGATGGCTGAGAGGTGCTCTTCATAGAGGTTCCTGTGGTCAAAAATTCAGGTGAGAAGATGCAGAATTGACGACAAAGACTGAGAATACCACAGTGAGGTATCACTTACCAGCGCGCGCCCCGGTTTGCTTTGGAAGCTCCACCTCGTTAGAATGGTCATGACCATCGGAGGTGTCACCATCGGACTCGTCCCCAACGATTGGTTCACCTTGGCTTCCGTCATCGCTGTCATCGTCAGAAGATCTCGAACCAACTCCGCTCTCGAGGATGCCAAATGGAGTGACATTCCCTTTGTCTCGAAAAAGGGCGTCCATTTCGTTGTAAAAAGGGCACATTGATTCTAACAAGTCCTCCATGGTGTGAATACCATCCGCAACGTTCTTGGCAGAGAGGCCACTGCCAGTCTTCAGACTGAAAGCCTTCGCAGCCGCGTACTTCGATTTATAGCGTTTGAGCCTTTGGTACAAGATGCGTCCATTCAATCGCATCTTTGTAGTATCGTGACGAATGTTATAGTTGTTGTTCAATTTGATAGCGAGCGGGTTCAACAGAGATCGCGGGTTCATGGGCAGTCCGGACACCTTTGTCTGACTGCCACCCCCAAACAAAGCATTACGGACGTTCGTCTTCGAGATGTACGACAGGATTGTTTGGTAGTCGACGCGATCGAGAGTAGGGCTGTCCCTGTTTGTCTTTGAATTGGGTGCCACTGTTACTGAGGCAGCGCGCGCCATACGAGATCGCCTCACTGCCGCCGGGGTAGGTTTAGAACCAGGAGGCAAGCCAGAGGCAAGCCAGAGGCAAGCAGATCCTGCTCAATCTGAGCCTTGGTTCGACGAGCTCGAGGGGCCTACGCAGGAAGTACGAAAGAATTGTAAGCATCCATTTCGAGTCAAGTCACAACCTTCGAGTGTTGGTGGAAGCTGATGACACACCTTTGGTTCCGATTTAGGTGCCATTGCGATAGGTCAAAAGCGAAAGGTAGAAGCGATAGACAAGGTAACCGATAGAAAAGGTAAATCCAGAAGAGGAGTGATGGGAAATCAGAGTGACGAGCGAAAAGGGAGGGAATCCTTTATAGCTTCACATCCAAGGTGTTCGCGGTTGACGTCTTGGGATATGGGATGTGGGATCTGGTATGATATCCACCGAGAATTCCCAGTTGGTCTCACAATCGGGATCAAAGTCCTGGGAACGATTTCGATGAAGACCGTATTAGACCTCGGCCGGGGTCTAAGAGTTTGGACCCTTGACCAATTCTCCTGTACCGAATGGTGTGTTAATGAAAGAGGCAAGGAGAAAAAAAAAATTGTTTCCGAAAAAAAAACGTTGTACAAAAAAAACAACGTTGTATCCAGGCACACTCACAGAGAAAAAAAGAACGGAAACTTTTATTTTTACACGCTTGATACGTGCCTTTGTTTTTTTTTCAAGTTGCAATGTTTACAAATTTTAAGGCAAATTAAGTGACCGCAAAAGGGTGAACCACCTTTAGAGGTGGTTCACCGACTTATAATTTAAGTCAAAATTTTAAGGACCCGGACAAACCGTAAAATTTTAAAAAGGGGTGTAAAAACCCTACTTGAACCGCCCTAATGGTTCAGCCATTACCCAAGACTTTACATCACCCTTTACCGGTGTAGAACTCTTTCAGTACACAGCTGAAAGCAGAGCCAAGAAGGGGATGAATGAAGACACAACCAACAACACACACAATCAAAAGAGGAATAAGTCTTGAGATGGTGAATTGAAAGACTTCAAACAGGAAAGAAATGCCCTTCTTAAACAGGGACTTTGATTACTGATGAATTAAATTTAAGACCTACAAGTCTTTGGATTAATAAAAACCAGGCTAAAAGAGGACAATAACTTCAAAAATAGCACCATCTAGGCGCACTCAGGCACCTTCCAAATGAGCAAATGAGCTTACAACTCAACAAGAAATTAATTAAAAGATGAATAAGGGTCTTATTATTATAAAATTCTAACTCTCATTAGTTGTTTACCTGAATGATAATAATAAAAGATAAAAGCTTATTCTAAAAAATCTAGTAATTATTTTTGCTAACTAAAAAGATCCCAAAGGGGAAGAAAAGAGACACTTGACTATATCAAAATTGAAACACACACAAAAAAAAAGATAAGACAAAGAACACCCCTCAAACTCGAAATTCACCTTCATACAACTTTTTCACAGCATAACTCTCAATGAACCCCCAAAATAAAGTTGATAGACGGATTCAGCACACACAAATTGACAATATACAAACTTTCAAGCTCACAAGCAGCACTATAACTTAGCTGTTTACCACAAAAACCCAAATTTCCGCCATTTTCCCTTCAAAGCTGAATTAAGATAAGAAAAAGGGACCATATAAAAATTCTGAAGAGGCAGAAAAAAAGTTCTGCTTCCGTTCTACAACTTTGCTCAGCCAAGCTAAACTCTAACTCTATTGGTTGTACTCTTAAAACGAAATTCGATTTTATGTGAAAATACTCGAAATTGGATTTACCCAGTTTACCACCTGATATTACCACTAAAGTTGATAAGGATGATGCTTAAAATTAAAGTTGTTGGGAAATATGCGAAAATAGAATCTACCCCAACTAACATCTACCCTGAAATGGTGCTGTGGTACCCTTGAATTCAAAGTTCCCTGCCAAAATTATAAATTTCTCAGTCTTTGAAAGTCATTTTCGAGTTTTGTAATGTCGGAAATTCTCCTGTGTCAAATGTAATTGTAATTTTGATGTGGGGTCTC